GCTGCGGCTGCGGCGGCGGCTGCGGCTGCTGCTGCTGCTGCTGCTGCCGCTGCTGCTCCAGAAGGTCCAGCACCCGCAGCTCCTGCCGCTCCCGCTCCAACCGCTCCTGCTCCTCATGCTCACGCCGACGGGCAGCCTGGAGACGCGTGTCGTGGCGGTGGGGAGGCGGAGTGGACTCCGCAGAACCAGGGTCTCCAGCTCCAGTCTCCTCAGACTCAGCACCCCCAGAACCAACACCTCCAGTGTCAGGACCCCCAACTCCAGCACCCCCAGAACTAGCACCTCCAGTGCTAGCACCTCCAACTCCAGCACCCCCAGAACTAGCACCACCTGCGCCAGCACCTCCAGCTCCAGCACCCCCAGAGCTAGCACCACCTGCGCCAGCACCTCCAACTCCAGCACCCCCAGAACTAGCACCACCTGCGCCAGCACCTCCAGCTCCAGCACCCCCAGCACCCCGCGACCGAGCACCCCCAGACCGAGCACCGCCAGCGGCTGCACCTCCAGCTCCAACACCAACCGAGTCCACAGTAGCCTGTCGCGGAAGTGCCGAAGGCTGCTAAGGGGACTGTGAGGAGGACTGTGGGGAGGGAGACGCTACCTGACGCGCGACCGAGGGTAGAGGGGTAGCGTGGGACACACCAGACGGGGCAGGACCAGGGGGGGGCGGGGGTACCGGAGGAGCGGGAGCAGGAGGAGGAGAGGGTTGCGAGGAAAAGAGGGGGAGGGGGGTACCGGGAGACCTCGACAGGGGTACCGGGTGTAGTAGGACACGGAATCGTCGAACCTGACGTCACGGGAGTCGAGGAACTGGTGGAGGGGCGGGTGGTAAAAGGACCAGTCAGCAGAGTCGACCGGGAAACCAAGGAAGACATAGTCGACGGCGCGTGCCGAGAGCTTGTCCGCAGAGGTGTCGCGGACTTGCGCAAGGCAAGCCCCAGACTCGAAAGGCCGACCCAACACCAGGGGAACCAGTCCAAAGACTAGTCGGTGAAACCTCGGGCTGCGAGACACGCGGCTGGAGGTTCAGCTGGTGTGCTGCGGCGTAGCGAACCGCATGGGGCCACAGAAAATGGGGCGCACGGGCATGGATCATGGACGTGCGGGCGATGTCCATGACCAAGCCTATGCGGCGCTCAGCAACCCCATTCTGCTGTGGGGACTCTGGCAGCGTCCAGGACTGGGTGATGCCCTGTTCGCCGCAGAATCCGCCGAGAATGCCGGAGCGAAACTCGCCCCCACGGTCGGAGTGGAGACAACTAACCTCGACGACCACGAGTGCCCTCAGTGGGCTAGAAGCCACCTGATCAGCGTAGCAGTCACCTCGGACTTCTTCGCAAGAGGGAACACTGTGGTGTACCTGGAGAAGTCGTCCACGACCACCAGAAAGTAACGCTCCCTCCCAGACCCCTGCGTCGGGGCAGGGCCCCAGACGTCCAAGTGGAGAGTCTCGAAGGGGAGCGGTGGCCGGACGAAGGGAGGAGGAGTGGGGAGTGGCGGCGTAAGCGACCGGCGACGCACGGAGAGCAAGGAGGGGCAAGCGAGAGAGGGAGCGACGGGAAGGTGCGTGGGAGACCTGTGACTAGTCCCTGACTGAGCATGCCAGGAAGGCGAGGGATCGACGGGTGGCCAAGACGGTGGTGCCACAGGACGGTGCGGTGGGCGTGAGAGAGCGACAGGAGCAAGACGCAGCGACTGGACTGGACACAGCGACCCGGACTGGACACGACTACCTGGCTAGACACAGCAACTGGACTGGGGACCTGGGCCGGAGGGGACGCAACGACCTGAGCGGAGGACGCGACCGGGGAGCGCTCGGTGTGGAGAACGTAGAGACTAGAGCGGGGCTCCCTGGTGAACGTAGCCAGAACAGCACCTGTGGTAGCGTCAGTACAGACTGCAGTCTGCCCACCCCTTACGAAGGTAACCGTGATCCCCCTGTCCTGGAGGTATCCAACACCCACCAAGTTCCGAGTGAACGAGGGGATGTGGAGGCCGCGCAGGACACCAGAGGGGACCACAGGGCACGGGAGGGTGGTGGAGCTACGCGCAACGGCTGGTCCAGAGGTAGGATCAGCCAGAGCCACTGACACAGGAGTGAGGAGTGGCATAAGGGTCGTGTGGTCGCGGAAGAAGCACTGAGACGCGCCCGAGTCCAGCGTGAACGACAGAGAGGCCTCAGCCGGAGGGTCACCTGACCCAGTCGCTACACAAGCACCTAGAGCAGCAACACAAGCACCTAAGCTAGACAGGCACAAGGCTACACTAGCAGGAGGCAAGCAGGCTAAACTACGAACACGCGAGCACACAGATCCCTCAGCACTAAAGTCAGCATCAACATACAAAGCATGCTGACGCGCATCGTCCATGGACAAATCAAAGACATCAATCTTACGGGTTAACAGACGAGACCAGCGAGGCGTGACCGCCAGGGGGCCCCAACGATCCCGGTAGAGGTCGTCGAGGCGGCGGAAGCACCGCGCGGCAGAGTGGTCGTCGCGACCACAGAGACAAGGGCTGCCCGGCCCGGTGAGGCACCAGTGGGTGCAGGGGCCAGCGTCACGGCGAGGGGGGCGAGGGGCCCAGCTGGAAGAGCTGCTGCTGCGGCTGGTGCTCCCAGGGCCTCCCGGACCCCACTGCGGCGGGGGACCCCAGTGCTGCTGCGGACCCCACTGCAGCAGGGGCCCCCCACTACTGGAACTGCTGCGGTGCCTGCTGCTGCTGCTGTCCCTGCTGCTGCTGCTGTCCCTGCTGTGGCTGGTGCTGCTGTGGCTGCTGCTGCTGGGGGGCAGCACCCCCACCGGTCGGGCCACCACCTGTGAGTGGACCTGTCTGTCCTGCGCCTCCTCCAAGGCCCCCTCCCCCCTGGTGCACCACCGCCGCCGCCGCCGCCGCCGCCTCCACCACCACCGCCGCTCCCACCTCCACCGCCCCCTCCACCGCCACCTCCTCCGCCCCCACCTCCCCCCTTCCCGCCCTTCTTGCCACTCTTGCCCCGTTTCTGCCAGTCTGCGGCAGAAACGGCAGCGGTGTCCGCAGAGACCGACACAGCAGCAGAAGCGCGGGTAGTGGTGAAAGTGGGAAGCTGAGGGGCGGCACACCCCGCAAAGAGACGGGGGGCCACCGCATCAGTGGCGGAGGCAACGGTGAGGAGGCTGCTCTCGATGGTCCCCGGAGAGCAGTCTGAAGGAGGTCTATAGTGAGTTAAGTGGGGTGCTTCTGAAGAAGCGCGTCGCGGGCAGTGGCAAGGCGGTCAGGGAGGCGGGTGACTAACCAGTGCACAGTGAGCCACATGGGGGGGGGAGCAACAAGGAGCTGTGCGTCGGTACAGGCCGAACGAAAACCGGCGTCAAGCGAGCGGAGGTGAGTCACTAGGTCGGAAACAGTCGCAAACGAGCCTAGGTCGGGAAACACGAACGGCATGAGGAGGCGACTGAGGGAGGCGGAGGAGGGGGTGGAATAGCGAGCCACAATAGCATCCCAAACCCCCTTGGCTGTCTCCACCTGGTCAAAGTGAGCGGCCTCAGTCGGGGGGAGAAGCTCCGATAGCGTGAGGGCGGCGGCCGCGTCACGAGAGAGCCACACGTCCCGAGCCAGGACCCCGACGGTCGTAGTCCGCCTGGGCCGTAGGAGTCGGCTCCGGGGCGGTCGGCAGGGGCGGCGGGGGACGGGGGTGCCGCGAGAGCACCCGACGCGTGGGCCCACAGAGTGGCGCCGTCCTGACGCTGGCTGGTGAGGAAACGTGTGGTCTGGCGCTGCCAGGTACCGAACTCGATCGGGCGTCCCTCAGCATCGAAACGGAGGCGACGGGCCTCCATAGCGGAGCCCATGCTAGAGGCGACTGGAGCACGGCGGAGGCGGAGCTAAGAACGAGGAGGAAAACTACGGAAGGCTAGGGACGCCAGCGGGGAAACCGACGAGAGACAGTCGGCGAGAAAATAGTCGTGGGGCGGGGCTCTAACCGAACCTAGGTGGCGCTACCGGAGGGAAGAGCGGCTGCCAGCCGCTGAGCCGGGAGCCAAGTGCAGTATGAATGGCGTGGGACCGGTGCACAGGTGAAGGGGAGAGAGATGCAGTAAGCGCACAGAGTGATGCGGTAAGTGTACGCAGGTGTGCGGTAAGCGCACGCAGGTGTGCGGTAAGTGTACGCAGGTGTGCGGTAAGCGCACGCAGGTGTGCGGTGAGTGCACGCAGGTGTGTGGTAAGTGCATGCAGGTGTGCGGGAAGCGCACACAGAGTGATGCGGTAAGTGCACGCAGGTGTGCGGTAAGCGCACGCAGGTGTGCGGTAAGTGCACGCAGGTGTGCGGTAAGCTCACGCTGGTGTGCGGGAAGCGTTGACGGAGGAGGGCGCGCGACAGGCGGAGGGGAGGGCACGCGACGGTCTAAGGAGGGCGCGCGACGGTTGAGGAGGGCGCGCGACGGTTGAGGAGGGCGCACGGCGGTCTAAGGAGGGCGCACGACGGTTTTGGAGGGCGCGCAACGGTGGGGGAGGGCGCGCGGAGGTCTAAGGAGGGCGCGCGACAGGCTGGACAGCGCGGGAGGGCGCGGGCTAGGCGCGAGGAGGGCGCGGAGGGCGCGGAGGGCGCGGAGGGCGCGAGAGCACGGAGGGCGCGTAGGGCGCGGAGGCTAGCTAAAAAAAAACGAACGAGGATCTAACCTACTCGTGATACCATCTCAGAATAGGAATGCAACGGAATACTTGGGATTAGGGTTTGCAAGCATACAAATAGGAGTCCTACAAATGTTGTACCCTCTAGGGAGTGCCTCACTGCAGCCTATCATAACATTAACATTTGACATGCACTCACTTGTGGAGCACCAGGTGGTTTAGGTGCACCCACCCAGGTCCGCATCTACCACTCGAAAGCATTCAATTGGAAGGGTGTTATGCACCGGAAAATATGGTACAATACATGCTAGACAACTTCTACTAAACACTCACAGCAACGCACTCAAGAGATCACCACCGCACAGCACCGCAACACACCGCCTCGCCCCTCACTCGGCCAGCATCTGCTCGGAGTCAACGTCATCGCCCGTGTCCATCTGCGGCTTGCCCCCTCCCGGTGCGCCGCTCGCCTGCTTCTTCTTGAGCCCGCTGACGATGTCATCGATGCGCAGCAGCATGCACGCCGCCTCGATCGCCGTCTTCACTGTCTGCACCTTCACTGCATACGGCTCCCACACCTGGCAGGGCCAAAGGAGGCAGGGATGCAGGGAGGGGATGAGAGAAAGGCATGCAAGGGTATGCAGCATGCACGCCGCCTCGATCGCTGTTTTGACCGTCTGCACCTTCACTGCATACAGCTCCCACACCTGGCAGGCAGCGGGGCAGGGGGGAAAGTTTGATGAGGGGAGTGCATGAAAGGGTGCGCAGGTGAGGCACCCAGCGGCTCAATGGCCGTCTTCACTGTCTGCACCTTCACTGCGTACAGCTCCCACACTTGGCAGCCCGGGGTAGGGGGGGGAGGGGCGGGAGGGGGGATGAGGGGAATGCATGCAAGGGTATGCAGCATGCACGCCGCCTCGATGGCCGTCTTGACCGTCTGCACCTTCACTGCGTACGGCTCCCACACCTGGCAGGCAGAGAACGAACAGAGAGGCGGGAGGCAGGAGGTTGGAGAGGCTGGTTGTGAGTGAGTGGAAGGAGTGAAAGGGCAAATAGCACACACACCACATCAGCAATTTCCCTGTCTGCTGCCACACCTGGCAAACGCAGGGAGAGGCGGGAGGCAGGGAAACAATAAGGGATGCGAGGAGGAAGAGCACGGACAACTGCCCAACCTTCCACTGCACACGGCTGCCCAACCGGAAGCATACACGCGGAGGAGAGGTGCGTGGGGAGGTGAGGAAGGGGCTTGAGGAGGCGAGGAGGCTATGCAGCACATCACGAGGCATGTGTGCTAGCACTTCCCCCCAACACTCACCCCCACCACTCACCCTCACCACTCCCCACCACTCAACCTCACCACTCCCCACCACTCACCCCCACCACTCCCCACCACTCAACCCCACCACTCACCCCCAGCAGTGCTCAAAACTCACCCCGAGCTCCTTCATGTCAGTGAGGGCGCCCGTGTCGCCGTCAATGCCTATGGACGTGTTGGCGCCTTGTGCGTGCTGTTGGGGTGCGGGGGAGGAGGGGCGGTGGGGAAATGGGTGGGGACGGGTGGAGGGGAGAATGATGCCGGTGCATTCCTGTGAATGTGCGTGTCCCTGGGCATGTGTGTTTGTCTGCAAATGCGGATGTCCCTATAGATGTGTGTGGACGAGTGAGAGAGAGGTGAGAGAGAGGTGAGAAAGAGGTGAGAGAGAGGTGAGAGAGACTTTTCAATAACGTTTTGGCTGATATGGCGTGACGTGGGGGGTGGGAGGGAGGGAGGAAGAGGTGATGGACAGAGAAGGTGGAGGAGTGACGCGAGGGAAATGTGATGAGAGGGAGGACAGGGATTGGTCGATGAGGGACAGAAAGAAGGAGAGAGGGATGAGAGAGGAACGAGGCGAGAGAGGACAGGGAAGAAAGGGACGAGAGCAGGGAGAGGACTGGAGGAATGAACGGTGGAGCGTGAAGGAGGCCAGACCGCACCACGAGGCCAGATGGCTGGCAGTGGCTGGCAGGCAGTGGGGCCGGGAAGAGTGTGCCGCCCACCTCGACCTGCCGCCCACCTCGACCTGCCGCCCACCTCGACCTGCCGCCCACCTCGACCTGCCGCCCACCTTGGCCTGCAGAGCAGTGACGGTGCGGATCACGCTGACTCCGCAGTTCTGTGCTAGCGTGCGCGGGATGACCTCAAACGCCGACGCCACTGCACGGTACGGCCACTGCAGGGAGGGGGGGCGTGGGGGGGAAGGAGAGGGGGGAAGAGTTTTGAGACATCTCAATGCAGTTCTGTGCTAGCGTGCGCGGGATGACCTCAAACGCTGACGCCACCGCTCGGTACGGCCACTGTGGGGAGAGGCGTGGAGATGGGGGGTGGAAGGGGGCAAAAAGGGGACCAGAGAGGGGCAGAGAATGGGGATGACGGGGGAGCGAAATGGGGATGAAGGAACGGCAGTTGGCAATGGATAACCAGCTTCATTCTTCATGCGATTGGAATGCTCGGACCATGAAAGAACCAGCTTCGCTCCTCTTGAATGTCGACATATTTCAATGTGCTGCTCCATGCCCACCCACCTGCTCCATCTAACATGCGTGTATATTCCACCATAGCCTGGCTAGCACTGTGACACTGTCCACCCACCTGCTCCATGCCCTTTCACTGCCCACCCACCTGCTCAATGCCTGCCACGGTGCCAGCCTTGTCCTTGAGAGCAGCCGACACGGTCATCTCCACGGCACCGCCACCCGGCACGAGGCGAGGGTCCACCACCACATTGCGCGCCACTCCCATGGCGTCCTGGGGTTGGGTGGGAGGGGCAGAGGAGGGTGAGGATGGTGGGGTGGTGTGGTGTGTGTATGCACAGAAACAGGTGTCCCTTCCCCACTTCCCCCCCAGCACAAGGCGAGGGTCCACCCCCACATTGCGCGGCACTCCCATGGCGTCCTGGGGGTGGGGGGAGAGGGGGGGGGGGGAGGAGTGAACATGGTGTGGTGCAGTGTAATCCATACGCCTCTCACTAATGTTGTCCTTGCTCGGCCCCCTCAGCAGCACCGTGCACGCCTTGGGCTGCTTGCACCTTCCCCACAGCTGCATTCCCTTCACCTCGCTCCACCCATTCTCACTGCTCACCTCACCTGATTGACCCCTCTCCACCCATTCCCATCCCTCCCTCACCTGCAGGTTCCGCTCCATCTCGTTCAGAATGTCCTTGCTGGCCCCCCGCAGCAGCACGGTGCACGCCTTGGGCTCTTTGCACTCCACGAGGAAGGCGAAGAACTCGTCGCCGATCTTGCGCACCTCAAACAGCCCGCGCCCGTCCCCACGTCGCTCTCCTGCAGCTCCTCCACTCGGTTCACAATCGTAGCGCCCACCGCACGAGCGATGCGGTTGTTGTCGGTTTTACGGAGGCGACGAATGGCTGCGATGCCGGCTCTGGGTGGGGGGGGGAGGGGGGAGGAAAAGTGAGTAGTTTTCGAAATCAAAAGGTGAAAGTTGGAGCAGGGGGGGAGCAGGTGGGGGGCAGAGGAGCACGAGTGTCAGTTCAATCCGAACAGCCCCGCGCCCATCCCCACGTCGCTCTCCTGCAGCTCCTCCACTCGGTTCACAATGGTAGCTCCTACCGCACGAGCTATGCGGTTGTTATCAGTTTTACGGAGCCTCCTGATGGCTGCGATGCCGGCTCTGGGTGGGGGAAAGAGGGAGGGGAAAGGGAGAACGGGAAAGGGGAAGCGGGGCGGATGCTGATCCTGAATGGTGGGATATGGAAGACGGGAGGGGAAGATGGGGGGGGAGGAGAGTCGATGCTGGCTCTGGAGCTGGGGGGAGGAAGAGGGGGGTAGAGGAAGGGAGAACGGGTTTCCACAGTGCCAGCCGGGCATGCCATGAGGTTGCCGATGCTTAAAATGCCGGCTCTGGTAAAGGTGAACCAAGAAGGCAGAAACACGAGACCCGGGCGGGACGACTGGCTAGATTTTTGTACGAGGGAAAGTGGAGAGGGGGACGTGGGATGGATCATGGAATGCCACTGCCAGCAACGACAGCAGTGGAGAAAGGAACGGCAAGAGAAAGAGTGCGAGCAGAGCAGAGCAGAGCACTGACTTGGAGAGGTAGTGCGCAGCGAGGTCGCTGAGGCCCTTCTCCGTGATGACGAGGTCGGGCTTGAATGCTGCTATGTGGCGACACAGACCCGCTATGTACTCCTCCTCCATCTTCAACAGCTGCTCCCTGGCAGATTCAGAGACACATTGGCGCATGTATGCACATGTGGGGAGAGGGCAGAGAGGGCAGAGCGGGCAGAGAGGGCACGGACAAGGGACATGAGGGGCAGTGAGGGCGTGTGGGAGAGGAGGTGGAGGTCGCTGAGGCCCTTCTCTGTGATGACGAGGTCCGGCTTGAATGCCGCTATGTGGCGACACAAACCCGCTATGTACTCCTCCTCCATCTTCAACAGCTGCTCCCTGCCATGTGGAAAAGCGGTGGTAGAGAGGGCAAGAACAGAGCACACGAGGGGCAGTGAGCGCGTGTGGGAGAGGAGGTGGCGACACAGAGCTGCTATGTACTCCTCCATCTTTCAACAGCTGCTCCCTGGAAGAAGGAGACACAGGTGCTGGCCCCCCTCCCCTCCCCCCTCCCTTGCTCCCCCCTCCCCCCCTCTCCCTCCACCCCTTCCTGACCACTCACTCACCAGTCCTCTTCTTTCAGCAGCTCCACGTTGGTCTGGTTCTCGCCCTTCTTGTACTCCAGGGGCGAGTCCAGCAGCACCACCCGCGGGTTCTCAATGCCTTCACAACCTCAATCCCTTTCTCACTCCATCCCCATCCTGCCCACTCACCAGTCCTCTTCTTTCAGCAGTTCCACGTTCGTCTGGTTCTCCCCTTTCTTGTACTCCAGGGGCGAGTCCAGCAGCACGACCCGCGGGTTCTCAATGCGGCGCCGCATCTTGCCGGGAGTCACCACGTCCTTGTTGAACATCACACCGCGCAGCACCGCACTGTCCTCTATCCGACCGCCCGGCACCTTCTCCACCTTGGCGTACTGCTTGATGTCAATCTCCTTGCGCCCGCCCACCTCCACTGCCACCGTTTGCACCGCGTCAAGTGCTAGCTCCTGTGGGTGAGGGGAAAGGGTGATGGTGAGGAGGGCAGGGATCGAGAGCAGTTATGTGGTGAGCTGCTCCCCCCCATCTCCACTTCTACCGTTGTCACCGCGTCTAGAGCTAGTTCCTGGGGGAGAGGAGAGAAGGGGGGAAGTGGAGGGCGGAGAGGAGGAAAGAGAGGGAAGGGCAAGGCAAGTTGGGGGAGGAAGGGTTGAGCAGACAGGTAGCAGCTGCCCTCCTCCAGCACTGTTGTCACAGAAGAGGGGGAGAGAGTGCGATGGTGGGTGGGGGAAAGAAAGTGGGCAGGACGTGGGTGGGGAAGGGAAAGTGGAGGAGGGGATTGTGGGAAAGGGCAGGGATTGAGCAGCTACTGCTATCGGCCAAGTGCGGAGAGGAATTGAAAGGCACAGAATTCCGAAGGCGTGTAGGAGAACAAAAGCACACACGGCGAGCACACGAGGAAAGGGCGAGGAGGGAACGAGGGGTCAGGCGTGAAAGCAGGACGACTGTCACACCATATGCTGCATTCTAAGAGGACGTACAGCCATGAGGGGAACATCATATGCTGCATTCTAAGAGGACGTACAGCCATGAGGGGAACATCATATGCTGCATTCTAAGAGGACGTACAGCCATGAGGGGAACATCATATGCTGCATTCTAAGAGGACGTACAGCCATGAGGGGAACATCATATGCTGCATTCTAAGAGGACGTACAGCCATGAGGGGAACATCATATGCTGCATTCTAAGAGGACGTACAGCCATGAGGGGACCACCATATGCTGCATTCTAAGAGGACGTACAGCCATGAGGGGAACATCATATGCTGCATTCTAAGAGGACGTACAGCCATGAGGGGAACATCATATGCTGCATTCTAAGAGGACGTACAGCCATGAGGGGACCACCATATGCTGCATTCTAAGAGGACGTACAGCCATGAGGGGGCCGAAGCGGGTGGTGAACTTGGTGCCGATGCAGCTCTGCAGTATGCTCAGCATCTGCTTCCCTGGTGAGGCATGGTGAAGCACAGGGAAGCACAGGGAAGCACAGGGAAGCACAGGGACGCACAGGGACGCGCGGAAGGAGCACAAGGGGACGGGGATGAATGAATGGGATGGGTGGTGAACTTGGTGTGATGCAGCTCTGCAGTATGCTCAGCATCTGCTTCCCTGTGCGAGGAAGAGGCATGGTGAAGCACAGGGAAGCACAGTGCACCACAGACGGCGTGCAAGGGGACGGGGCATGAAAGGATGAGATGGGTCGGCGGCAGAGTGTGCAGGGGAATGCACGCATTAAGGCATGGAGGCAAGCGAGGGCAAGAGGGATAGTTATGGCGCAAAACAAGGGTGAGAGGGAAGAGCAGGCTGAGTGCGAGAGGCAAGTCAGAAAGGCGAGCGATGAGAGAGGCGTGCAGGGCGCAGAGAGGGAGAGGGCAGGTTTGTCTCACTGTTGTTGACGTCGATCTTGAATGCCACCTTGTCGATCACCGCTATGGCATCGTCCAACGCCTTGGTGTACGCTGGTGGGTGCATGGGGGGGTTGGGGGAATGAGCAATGGCATGGCACCATTAAGGGGTTGAGTAATTGGGGGGTGAATGGGCAATTGGTTGATCGGGGGAGAAGGAGAGGGGAGAGGGGAAAGGCAACGGCGGGGAGATGAGGTGTTAAAGGAAAGAGTGAGAACGAAGACAGGGGCACATGATATTCTAAAGCTGCACCCACCACCCTCACCCACTGAGAGCGCCCTGCCCCACTGAGGGCGTACCTCTGCAGATAACGGTGGGGTGAAAGCCCTTCTCCAAGAAGGGCTCTGCCACGTGGAGCATCTCGCCAGCTGGCAGCACGCAGTGGTGACACGTGGCATGCCGGGCATCAAACAAACGGAGGGAATGGAAGAGTGGATAGGTGAGGGGTGAGAGGAAGGGCATGTCCGGGGCGGCTGAGCGGGCTTGCAGAGTGGAGTGAATAGCAAGGGAAAGGCGCAGCGAGAGGAGGGGATGTATCTGGCGAGGGAAAGGAGTCGAGAGGCCGGTGCTTGGGAGGAGATGCATCTCGTTAGAGGGGAGGAGAGGGGAGGAGAGGGAAGAGGAGGGAAGAGGAGGGAAGAGGAGGGAAGAGGAGGGAAGAGGAGGGAAGAGGAGGGAAGAGGAGGGAAGAGGAGCGAAGAGGAGGGAAGAGGAGGGAAGAGGAGGGAAGAGGAGGGAAGAGGAGCGAAGAGGAGGGAAGAGGAGGGGAGGGGAACCCACCAAGGATGATGACGGAGGTGGTGCCGTCGCCCACCTCCTCGTCCTGCGTGCGACTCAACTCGATCATGGACTGCCATGCGACCCCACCCCCACACACCCATGGCACGCAGGGCAGCAGCAGGAGCAACAGCAGCAGGCAGCAGCAGCAGAGGCATGGAGAGTATTAGGCGCATGCATGCGCACACAAGGCACAAGCCCATGGGCATGAGGAGGTGATGCGGGGCATGAGGAGGTGATGCAAAGCGCAAAGGGCAAGTAGCAGGGAGCAAGGTGGGGCAGGGCAGGCAGGGAGGTGGACGGCTGTGGATGCTGCTAAGGAGAGTCCGGTGGGTGCCTTGGCGACCACGTCCCAACCGTCACGTGGTTATAGCGAATTCCAGGGCCCCAACGCTCACACCTCTCAACCCCAAACCTAAACCCTCGACCCTCCTCAGCCCTCAACCCTGACTGTGCTACTGAGCACTCCCTGCAGCAGTACAGCAGTAAAACATCCCTCCCTATCACACCTTTACCTCTCTCTTCCATCACACGCCTTGCCCCTACACCCACTCACGACACAGGCTCTCACCTTGGCAGCCGGGTGCGTGACGTCGATCTCTCTCAGAATGGCGTTGCCATCGTTGGTCAGCACGATGCCTGCATGGCACGGCATGGCATTGGAATGGCGGGAATCATTTACAGAATGGCATGGCATAAAAAGAATGGGAATTTCAGGCAGCTCTCATCACCACCACCCCATCCCACCACCCCATCCCACCACCCCATCACCACCACCCCATCCCACCACCCCATCCCACCACCCCATCCCACCACCCCATCCCACCACCCCATCACCACCACCCCATCCCACCACCCCATCCCACCACCCCATCCCACCACCCCACCCCACCACCCCATCCCACCACCCCATCCCACCACCCCATCCCACCACCCCATCCCACCACCCCATCCCACCACCCCATCAGGTGACCTGAGCTGAGGGCCGCTCAGCAGCTCATGAGCCCATTTCACCACCCCATCACGTCGTCAAGAACGGGTGCTCAGCAAGCAGCACGGCGGCAAGCTTCAACGGGGTCCCACGCCTTTCTTTCGAAAGATTGACCCACTGTATGCCCGTCACACAATTACCTCCTGTGGCGTGCACCTCACCTCCTGTGGCGTCTAGCAGCATCTTGAGCATGGAGCGCGGGCCCAACGTGGTGCGGATAATGTCCGCCACGGCCTGCGCGCGCGAGGGGGTGCGGAGGTAGATGCAAGGGGGGGAGGGGGGGCAGAGGAGAAAGGGAAGCTCGGGAGACGAGAAGGAGAGGTGGGAGGGGGAAGGGATGCGAGGAGACGGCAGAGGAGGACATGGGCGAAGGGGTTAGGGCGGAGGGGTGTGTTAGAATGGATGGGAGTGAGCATCGAAGCGGGGCGGCGCAGAAAAGAGTGGGCGCGCCTGGAAGCACACTTGCGTGCTCACGCAGCGAATGCATCTCCGCGTCTCCGCATCTCCGCGCCACCTCCCGCGGCACCTCAGGGCTTCCCTTGGCTCGCGTCGTCCACAAACTCGTCCTTGCCACAAGCGCCCAAAACCCCGACTGCTACACCCGCGCCGTTACTCCGCACCCGCGCTACACACCACCCCGCTTCCCGCCACCCCGCTTCCCGCCACCCCGCTTCCCGCCACCCCGCTTCCCCCCACCCTGCTGCGATATCCCAAAGCTCGCTATGCAAAGAGCCGCTACTTCCCAGCGCGCGGTTTTCCATTCAACCCCAAAACCAAACCCCTGCGCCTCGCGTCTCGCAGCGACGTTGCGAACCGACTCACTGCGCAAAACCGAACGTCTCAATAGCAAGATTCCTATTTTTTGCGTCTCGGGTCTCGCGTCTCACCTTGGCCGCCGCGATGTTCCCGAGCTGCGCCTTGCGACCCGACTCGCGCTTCGTGTTCGCATCTGGACGGGGACGGGACAAGGCGAGAAAGGCGGGAGGGGAATGCACGGAGGGATGGTGAGGCGCACGGCCGCACTTCTCTGCTTTGCTTTCCATTCCATCGCATCCTAAAATCCCCGCTCCCAAACGGCTTTCCGTTCCCTAAAACGTCTTCTCTTCTCTTAGCTGGTCCCGCGGCGAGCGAGAGGAAGCTGTGCCTCTCAAACAGCTTCCTCGCGCATGTCTCAAACGTGACTTCAACAAAAGCTGTGGATGCCTGCGAATCTGCGATGATCGGCCGGGCACGGGCTGCCATGCCATCCGGGGCTCAAGATCGACCCACTGGCCTCGCATCGTACGCGCGTCAACACAGCACGACGCGGATTTCAAAGGACAAAGCGAAGGACGACTGTAATGCTCGAATCCTGCGGCTCTAGAGCGCTGCGTGGCTCGGAGCGGGCTTACGACTCGCCGCCGCTCTGCTCACTGCCGAGCCGCGTCAGATTCACCAGTCTTTGCTCTAAAAGCGGAATCTATGCGGCAGATACAGCAGGTAAACGGATCCATAGCGTTCCCTGCAATGATGCTGACAGCACTAAACTTTAGGACGTACTTAGAACGAGCACCGGGCCCTGCATCGTGACTGGTCGGTGACGGAGTTAAGAGGCGGCGTGACGATCAAGGAGCCGTGCGAGTGCGGGCGAGTGGACGGTCGGGATCGTTTTCCGTGGTCGATCTCGGTCACGCAGATGCGGCAGATAGCCGGCGGGCGGAAGCGAGGCGGATCCACACGAGTACGGTATCGACGCCGAGGGATCGAGGTGCGGAGAAGGCAGCAGAGCGACAGATTAGTGATCTGAGAATGACGAGATTCAGGAATTCGAGAACCGTAGTGAGGGGATTGGGCCGCCTGACAGATCGAAGTGGAAGCGAGGCAAAGGTGATGGTGCTGGCACACGACCACCTAGATCCACTCGGACGGAAACCAAAGTGCGATACTGTACTATCATTCGAAGGAACGGGTAATTTTTTTTCTCAAGGGAGGCTAATAACGGGTACGGGGAAAAGTAAGGATTGCACGTGTAGAAATTCGTGTGTACGATTTCCCTTCATTCGCTCTAGTTCTGAGCTTCAATTCAAAACCCTGTCACCGTCCCTCCCTCGTACCCAAACCCTCTCCTTCTCCCCTAACGCCACCCCCACCTCTCCGCTCCTCCACGGCATTGCTTCGTAAGCTCAGCGCTTACCACCCCGCTGCTCGTCAGCATCGACAACCTCGGTAGCGGCTAGCATGGTTGAAGCAGAAGCGCCGGCGGTGGACGATAGTTTAGCTGGGGAGGACGAGGAGGAATTAGTCCGAAGTGAGGAGTACGATGACGAACACGTAGGCGAAGATGGCGACGAGGGCGACGAGGGCGGCGACGACGATGACGACGATGACGACGATGGCGACGACGACGACGAGGGCGAGGCGGCGGCGCTGTTCGGCGGGCAGCAGAAGCTGCACGCGATAAACGACGCGCCCGCGCTGCGCAAGAAGCTCGACGAGTTCGCGTGGGCGGGCAAGCGGTCGTGGATGGAGTCGCTCGCCGTCATCGTCATGGACGACGAGGCGCAGGCGGACGCCGCCACTGGCGCCGCCGGCGGCGTGGAGGCGGTAGACGCGGCGGACGACTTGGTGCGCGAAGCCGCGTTCTACTCGCAGGCCGCCGCGGGCGCCAAGGCGGCGCTCGTGCGGCTCCAGGAGGAAGCAGCCGCCGCCACCGCCGCCGCGGGCGCCGCCGGCGCAGGCGGGGGGGAGGAGGGGGAAGAGAAGCGGAGGTTTCCGCCGTCTGCGGTGGCGCTGCTGCGGCCGGCGGACTACTACGCGGAGATGGTGAAGAGCGACGCGCACATGGAGCGCATCCGCGCGCGGCTGCTGGCGCAGCAGAAGGAGATGGAGGGCGCGGAGGAGCGCAAGAAGTCGCGCGAGGGGAAGAAGTACGCGAAGCTGGTGCAGGCGGAGCGGCGTAAGGAGCGCGAGAAGGAGAAGAAGGACTCGGTGCAGGCGGTCGAGCGCTGGCGCAAGCTGCGCCAGCAGAGCAACTTCCAGGACGGCGCAACTACGCCCGGCGGAGCGGACTTCCCCGTGGAGCTGGATGCGGCAATTGGGGGGGAATTCCCGCGGGCGGAGAAGCGCGGGGCGGGCGCGCGCGGGACGGGGGGGAGAGGCGGGGGGAAGGGGGCGCTGGAGAAGCGGAAGCAGCGGGATTCGAAGTATGGGTTTGGCGGGCGGAAGCGGCTGAAGAAGCAGAACGACGCGGACTCGACCAACGACTTTGGGGACTTTGGGGGCTTTGGGGACGACGATGGTGGGCGCGGGGGACGAGGGGGATTCGCGGGTAGAGGGTTCAGGGGAGGGGGAAGAGGGGGGGCTAGAGGGGGGGGCAGAGGGGGGATGAGAGGAGGGAAGGCGCAGCGGCCGGGGAAGGGGAGAAGAGAGCAGATGAGGAACCAGGGAAAGTAGGGTGGAGGAGGGGGGGAGAGTGAGGAAAGGTAGACAAGGGAAGTTGGGGGGAAGGGGAGGGGAGAGAGGGGAGAAGGGAATTTGGGGCGAGGGGAGGGGAGAAGGGAAGTTGGCACGGGTCAGCGCTCCCTCAGCCTGCTGGTGACCCGGCTTGTGAGAGCAGTGGTGTTACTTTCCTGCAGTGCTTGCGGTGCAGTGCGGTGCAGTGCGAGAGCAGATGCGGAACAAGGGCAAGTAGAGTGGAGTGGGAGGAGGAGGGACGAAAGGAAAAGAAGGGAAGTTGGAGAGGGTGGGGGACGGGAGAGAGCGGGCGCGGAGCAGGACAGGGAGCAGCACTTCTGGGAGGTGCCGTGTGAAGCAAGGAGGGCGGGAGGGGGTGGAGCAAGGAGGGCGGGAGGGGGTGGAGCAAGGAGGGCGGGAGGGGGTGGAGCAAGGAGGGCGGGAGGGGGTGGAGCAAGGAGGGCGGGAGGGGGTGGAGCAAGAGGGCGGGAGGGGGTGGAGCAAGGAGGGCGGGAGGGGGTGGAGCAAGGAGGGCGGGAGGGGGTGGAGCAAGGAGGGCGGGCAGGGGTGGAGCAAGGAGAGGGCGGGTAGGGGATGAGCAGGCAGTGATGGCATTACCGTATATTGGTGGCCACTCCTGCATGGGTGCTGCTGCCCCCTGCCCTCTCTGCCATCCCTCTCTCTGCGGGGGGAAAAGGGGAGGGGAGAGAGAGGGTGGGGAACGGGACATGGCTGACTGGCAGGGCATGGGGATAGAAGCAGCGCTTCTGGGTGGTGGCATGCAAGGCATAGGAGGGCGGGCAGGGGTGGAGCAAGGAGAGGGCGGGCAGGGGTGAAGCAAGGAGGGCGGGAGGGGGTGGAGCAGGCAGTGAGGGCATCATGGGTAGCACCGCACCATCAGAAATATAAATTTGTGTTGCACTGTATGGCTTGGCTTGGCTTCTTTGTTTGTCATTTGTACGTACCAAACCAAGGTTTTTGCTAATCCGAGCAGGATCATTTACAGTATAGACTGGTACCCTCATCATCTATGTTGGGCTGAAAAAAGAAGCCCTTAGGATCTTTGCAGGGATGAACTCTGGGTAGAGTTGTTGTAATAGCGGAAGCGTTAATTAAAGAGTTGTGAACCACCTTGCGCTAGTATATGAGGGCAAAGTAGATTGATTAAAACAAGGAGATACAGGATTATATATGAGTACAAGGAATACGAAGAGATGCAGTTATAACTATACTGTTGCTGTTGCGGTTCGATACAGTGACGACTCGGGCAACTGCTCTGTAGCGAGTCAGTTGTGTGTCCTTGCTGTCGCGCTGTACTTGTCAGGTCAAAGGTCGCTGACCTTTGACTTTCGCGTAACCGCCAGCAACTTCTCAACCTCCGAGGGTTGACTCGCGAGTGCCTCGATATGATTTACTTCGCTTCTGGTGCGGTGTTTCGACACGACAGAGGCGCTTATGATTTGTTGTTTCCAACACTCCTCTTCGCTTCTGGAGTGTCGTTGCTGATGACGTGGCTCTGTCCAGTCAGCAGCATGCAGTACTCGAATTTCTGCTTTCCGAGTTTCTTGGTCAAGTAGTCGGCTGCCATCTCGGATGTGGGGCAGTATGACAGCTCGAGTCTCCCCTTCTCGATTTCGTCCTTCACGAAGAAGTAGCGTAGGGCAATGTGTTTCGTCCTGTTCGCGAAGCCGTTCTTGTTGGCGATGCGAATTGCCGACTGGTTGTCGCAGAACAGGGTGAAGTTGGGTAACTCAGCTAACTTCGCTTCTTCCAGCAGCTCGCGAAGGTAAAGTCCTTTCTTGGTGGCTGAGCAGAGTGCAATATATTCTACTTCAGCTGACGAGAGAGCAATTAATTCCTGCTTGCTCGACTGCCAAGAGATAGGTCCGATAGGTTCGAGGCGGTAGACGTAGCCGGTGCGGGAGCGCCTAT